AAAGATTGTGCTTGAAGCACTGGCTGGAGCAGGAAGTCAAGAGAAGCAATTAAAGGACACAAACAGAAGAAAAAGGAGAGGTCAAACTATCTCTGTGTGCAGATGATATTCTCTCATGGATAAGAGATCCTGAAACTTGTACCAGGAAACTGCTAGAGATGGGTAATAGTTTCAGAAATATGGCAGGGTGCAGAATCTACCTGTGGAAATCAATAGATTTTCTACTCACCAACAACAAACATACGGAGAAGGAGATCATGGACAGCCTCCTCTTCATAATAGCCTCAAAGAAAGTAAATAACTATGAGTAAACCTAACCAAGGAGGTGAAAGACCCCTGTACTGAAAACTTTCAGTCTCTGAAGAAAGGCACAAAGATGTGGAAAGACATCCTCGGCTCATGGTTTGATAGAATCAATACTGGAAACGAAAGCCATTTACAGACCCAATGCAATCTCAATCAGAATACCCACCCTGTTCTTTGTAGGAAGAGGAAAAAACTATCCTTGAATTCTATGGAATGACAAAGGATCAAACAATCCCAATTCTCCTCCCTCTTGTATAGCAGACTACTGGCAAGGGCCGGTCCTCCCTCTCTATCTCCATTCCCTGGGAACTCTGCCTCAGCTTGCAGTAGGCCCAGGTTTCTTCCTTTCTGAGGACCCTCTCACCCTCAGCTCCTGCCCATTCCTGTTCCTGTGTGTCAGTCACAAACACCTGGAGGCACTCTCTACCTGAGTACCCACAGGTCTGCAGTGGCCATGCAGGGCTAGAACCAGCTCAGCTGTTTGTGCTCTCCATCCTGTTTCCACTACCAATTCCCTAGTCTCAACCCCAGCCGTGTAGCAGACTACCTGCAGGGACCTATCTTCCTTTCTGCCTCCATTCCCTGAGGAATCTATCAAACCATGTGGTGGACCTAGCTTTCCTACTTCCTGAGAACCATCTCAGTTCCCCTCTCTTGCCCATCCCTATTCCTTCCTCTCAACCCCCAATACATAGAAACACATTTTACCTGGGAACCCAATTGGATACACCTGGTGAAGGGCTCAGAAGCAACCCACAGTGACCACGCTCTCCTAAGATCCAGAGAGGACCACAGAAGCCAAGGAACAGAACAACCACCCAACAAAGACAGGACCAGATAATGAACACCTAACACCACAGTCACCACAAACCCAGATGCCTAGGCACCTGCTCAAGAATGACTGTCAACTATTAACACCCAAGATACTGTGTCTCCACCAGAACCCATCAATCAAACTACAGTAAGCTCTGAGCAATGCAATATAACTGAAGCACAAGAAAAGAACTTCAAAATAGCTATTATGAATTTATTCAAAGACCTTAAAGAGGATGTGAATAAATCCCTTAATGAAGTCTGTGAAAATGCAAAAAGTGGAACGCAACGACAGAAAATGCTCAGGACATGAAAGTAGAAATAGAACCACTAAAGAGAGCCCAAGCTGAGATAAAACTGCAAAGAAAACCTTAGAAAGTCAAACAAAACCCTCAGAGGCAAGCCTCACCAACAGAGTCTGTCATGGACGGCAGACTCTCTGGCAGCAAAGACGAAGCAGAAGAAATGGACACCTCAGCCAAAGGAAATGCTCAAATTTTAAAAATCCAGGCAAGAAACATCCAATAAATCTGAGAGACCATGAAAAGACCAAATCTACAAATAACAGGAATAGAGGATAGGGAAGAAATCCAGGTCAAAGACACAGACAATATTTTCAAGCAAATAGTAGAATTTTCTGTAGCCCAAAGGGGGAGGTGCCTATCAAGGAGAAAGAGAGCATGCAAAACACCAAATGGACTCGACTAGGAAAGACACTCCCTCCTACACATAATAATCAAGACATTAAGCCTACAGAACAACAACACAAAAGGCCTTAGAAAGCTACAAGGTAAAAGATGGAGTAACATGTAAAAGCAGATCCATGAGAATAATGCCCGACTTCGCAATGGAGGCTCTAACCAGAAGAGAGCACGGATGCTAGACCAGACTACAACACCCGCACCACAAGGATAAGACAACAGGAATCAATAAACAATCCCCATGGATATCTCTCAACATCAGTGGTCTCAATGCACCAATAAAAAAAAACACAGACTAACAGACTGGATTTGAAAATAGGAGTCACCTTCCTGCTGTATCCAGAAAACACTCCTTGACATCAAGGATAGACTTCACTTCACAGTAAAATGATAGAAAAAGATATTCCAAAATAGATTCAAGAAACAAGTTGATGCAGCCACTTTACTATCTGACAAAATAGCTTGAAACTGAACCAAATCAGAAGATTTGGAGAAGGATACTACCTACTAATCACAGGAAAAATCCATGAAGAGCAAAATTGCAATTCTAAACATCTATTTGCCAAGCACCAGGGCACTAGAGTTCATAAAAAAACACCACTACAGCTAAAATCACACACGTATCCACACAACGTCGTAGTGGACTACTTCAATACCTCACCCTCAATAAGAGAAAAGTTGTTCAGACAAAAATCTAACAGAGAAATATTGGAGATAGGTTATGTCATAAGTCTAAAGGATCTAGCATGTATTTGCAGAACATTTCACCCAAACATGAAAGAAGTTGTCCTCAGCTCATGGAACTTTCTTCAAAACTTACCACATACTTGGATACAAAGCAAGTTCCAGCAGATACAAGAGAATAATACCTGACCACCATGGAATACAGCTGTGTCTCAACAGCAACAGAGTTTAAAATGCATTAAAAATGAACACTACATGATGGAATGAAAAAAAAAAGTTCAATACAAATTAAGAAACAAATGAAGATTTTTTAGAGTTGAATGAAAATGAAAGCACAACATACCCAAAGCTATTAGACACAAAGGAGGTGATTCTAAGGCAAGTGTATAGCACTAAGTACCTACATAGAAAAATCAGAGAGATCCTATATTAGCAACTTAATAGCACATCTGAGCACTCTAGAACAGAAGGAAAAGAATAAGTTCAAAAGGAGTAGACAGCAAGAAATACTCAAACCCCAGGAAGAAATCAATAAAATAGAAAGAACAAAAAGAAACACACAAAAAGTTCATGAAGTGGAGAGTTGGGTCTTTGAGAAAAATCAGTGAGATTAATGAACCCCTAGCCAAATTAACTAAAAGAATGGAGATAAAAGGTCCAAATTAGTAAAATTAGAAATAAAAAGTGGAACTGTCTTAGTTAGGGTTTTTATTGCTGTGAGGAGACACCATAACCATGGCAACTCTTATCAAGAAAACATTTAATTGAGGTGGCTCACTTACACTTAGAGTTTCAGAGGCTCAGTCCATTATCATCATGGTGGGGAGCATGGCTGCGTGCAGTCAGGCACGGTGCTGGAGAGATAGCCAAGTGCCCTATATCTTATAAGCAATAGGAAGTAAAATTGAGAAACTGGGTAATATCTTGAGCATAGGACACCTTAAAGCCCACCCCCACAGTGACACTCTTCTTCCAATAAGACCACACCCACTCCAATAAAGCCATACCTCCTGATAGTGCCATTCCCTGTAGGATTATGGGAGCAATTAAATTCAAATTACCACAGGAAAATAACAACAGAGAATTATAAGCAATAAATCCAGAGAATCATAAGGACATACTTTGACAACCTGTTTTCCACCAAGTTGGAAAATCTATCTCTGAAGATGCCATGTGCTTAGGACACAAACTCAGAGGACATGAGTTGCTTCTGACCTGAAAGCCTCATCCCCAAGAACTAGCTTTCTGTGGTACCAGAAGGTGCCAAGCCAGTGATCGCTGGAGAAAAGCCACCGCTAGTTCTATGGTCTATCAACTGCAACAAAGCCCAGTACAGCATGAGCATCCTAAGGTATAAAAGTGGAACTTGTATCTAGGTGGTAGCCAACAGCTTTCACTTAAGGCCTGCTCAACAAGAGGGAAATCATGTCTGGTACTACACACCTAGCCAACTATGTGGGGCTGGTAAAATCACAATTTTTAGGAGAATTAACAGCCACCACTGTAGCTGAAATTTTCTTTGGGCCAACAACCAGCTTCCTAAAAATAAGACATGGAGACTTATTATTTATGAATGCCCCACCTTAGCTTAAGCTTATGCCACTAACTCTTTTAACTTAATTTAACCCGTTTCTATTCATGTACATTTTGCCTCAAGGGTTCTTGACTTTCTGTCATTCTGTATGTCCTACTTTTCTGTTTTATCTGTGTCTGGCTGGCCTCTGGAGTGTCCATTTTTCTTCTTTCTTTCTCCTTTAAGCCTCAATTCCTTCTCCTACTTATTCTCCCTGCCTGGAATTGCTACCTATACCATCTCCCTTACTATTGGCCATTCAGCTTTTCATTAGAGCAATCAGATGCCCTTGGCAGACCAGGTAAAATAGCAACACATCTTTTTTATGGTCAAACAAATATTCTGTAACACACCTCTTTACTAAACCAGCACAATTTCTAAATACATTCCAAATATTTATTCTTATACCCACAGATAAATAAAGATCTCACTGCTCATCAAAGAAATATCTCTTTGCGACAGAAGGGAACCATTACAGAAGGCTATGACTATTCCAAATACAGAGACCAGGTGATCACACAGTACCCAATCCCTACTGATAACATCTACAATACAATCCTTCCATCTAAGACTAGAGGGTTATCACAGAAGAGGAGGTAGAAAGATCGTGGGTGTCAAAAACAGGAAGTCTGCTGTTAGGTTGCATCGCCAAGATGCGTTAGAGAAGTTACATCCATGAAGTCTAATCAGCATGAACTGAACAAGGACAACACCAACAGGCATGCTGACATTGCAGGGGACAATATCACAAATGCCTCAACGCTAGACAAAGAACTACAGGCACCTAAGGAAAGCTATTAACAAGAGAAATAATATTCACAGAGAAGAGGCACCCTATGGTAACCCAATAGCAAGGGATGGGCCCTGAAATCACATACATAAAAAGATCCACCACCATATTGCCCACAGTGGTTTGATGGGAAACAGGCAAAGACACATATAATATATGTACATATATTTATACACATGCATATGCTCATAAAGAGAAAGTTTCATGGATATGAATGCACATAGACATGTATAATCATAAATGTGTACATGTACATATATACATGTACACGCACATATGTATACATGTATCACATATTTGTGTATTTGCATGTACATACACATATGTACATACACATACATTTTCACTTTTTGCAGCAAATATATTCTATAAAGTTCTGTGACTGCCGAGTCAGTAGCAAACCCACTAAGCTGAGTGGAAATTACAAATGCGACCTTCCTGTCTAAGTCTTTTCCTAAACGGCTTCATTTCCCTTCTTGTTCCCCTCATGTCTAACATTGCTATCCATAGGCATTTTCTCCATTTTATTTTGTAATTTTTCTTTTGAGTCTGGGTCTCACTAAATAGCTCTGACTGGCCTGTAACTCCCAATGTAGATCAGGCTGGCCTTGAGCTCACAGAGATCCACTTGCCTCTACCTCCCGAGTGCTGGCATTCAAGGTGCATAGCCCACTGCCCACTTCCGTTATATAATTTTAAGACATGAATAACATTTTATTGTAATTTTCATCTCATATGAAATATAATTTTCTGGTTAGTAATAATTTCTGATTAAGGACATTTACATTTCATGGTTTTTCTACGTTTTCATTCCAAAGAATTTGTATTGATATTACAGAAATATTTTGTTCATCACAGTGGGAAGTGGGCTTTCCTTAGCAGTTGTCTTGCAGAAAAATTTCTGTGTGTGGGAAGCACAAAGTCCCTGTGTCCACCCAACACCTCCCGCAGCCTCCCTAACATGCAGCGCTGATGACTGACTGCTATCTCTGTGGCCCGGTGTGAGACACTTGCTCAGAGTGGAATCTGCGTCATGGATTCTCTGATGCTATTCTTTTCCAGAGAAGGAGAGCAGACAACTTTCCCCTTGGTGAGCTGTGAGCTCCTTGGGCAGACATTCAATGCCAGGTCATTGAAGGCAATGAAGAGCCTTGCCTTCCATAGTTGACTCCTGTGTGGACATCTACCTCTCCTCTTGCTGTCCTACCCAGCGAGATGGCTTGTGAGGTCAATGAAAGGCCCATTGTGTATATTGGAAACTTTAGAACACATTCGCCCCTTGTGTCAATCAGCAGAGTTTGGGAGACCCATTTTAGTTCCCAGACCTACGATGGGAGGCTCACAACCACCTGTGACACCAGTTCCCAGGGATCTAACATCTTATTTTGGCTCTTGGAAGATACATACTTTCCTATGTACATAAAATACACACACACACACACACAAATCAGAACATAATAAATCTATAAAATTATGTCTACCACATCTGCTCCATGTCCCAGATCCTCATATACTGTCTTCTAGGCTGCCTTAAGGGAGCCCGGGATCAGGGTCCATTTCTGAAGTTATTCATCTCATCACTGTATCCTTACATCAGCCTTTCAGTGTTGCTGGCAGCATGCTCTGCAGCCTTGCCAGGAAGCTGCCTCTACTTTTAGAGGAAGCCACCTTCCTCTTCTTCCTGCTGGTCCTTCTCTCCTTCTTGCCAACTGTGTTCCTGCTTTTTGGTGTACTCCTTTAAGGGGTCTCTCAGAGTCTAACTGGCTCCACGTGGGTTCAATGAGGGCCCTCTATTTACTCTGCACTTCTGAACCAAGATACATACCATGTGGTAGACAGACTAATGCCCCAATAGGCTCAGTATGAAGCCTTGACTCCAGTGTGAGTTGACTCATGTGGCCGAAGGAAATAGATGTGATTATGGAGTCAGGATGGGAAGACGATACTAAATAGTGCACATGGGGCTATTGTCATCACAAAGGAGCATGAGAGATAAATGTAGGAGAAAGAAAACAGGAAGAGAAATGGAGGAGCCACTCTGCTGTCTTGGCAGATGGAATGTAGAGTCATGGTCCAGGAGAGCCTGTAGTTTTTGCAGCTCAAGGGGCAGGACAATGTACTCCTCCCTAGAGCCTATGGAGGAAACCAAGCCTTCACAGCACTGATCTCTATATCAATGGCTGTATGCTAGTTAGTTTTGTTTACATGACAGAAACTGAAATACATCTGGGAAGAGGGGACCTTAATTGAGTAAGTGTCTCCATCAAACTGGCCTATCGGCAAGCTACAGAACATTTTCTTGATCAATAATTTATGTAGAGAACTCAGCTCACTGTGGGCCATCCATGGGCATGTAGAAACAAAGTAAATCACAGGAAGCAAGCCAGTAAAGAGAGCCTCTCCATGGTTCCTGCCTCGAAGTTCCTGCCTTGAATTTCTGGTTGACTTTCCTCAGTGATAGAGTATGACCTGAGTAAATCCTTTCCTCCCCAAGTTGCTTTTTGTCATGGTGTTCCAACACAGCAATAGAAACCCAACTGAGACAGGCTATGTACTGTTTAACTCAGTGAGTTCCCCGCTAATTTGTTATAGCTGCTGTAGGAACCTGACATGGATATCCCACGATAGGGATAGCCAACGGTTGGAATCAACTTTGCATCAAGCCTCTCTCACTACCCTAAGTCTTGCTCTCCTTAAAGAGTCTCTCAGAGTCCTCTGGGCCCCGCTGTGCACTTGTTTGAAACCTTAGGCAGAAACCATTTCTGGGTTGATCTCTTTGCTTTTTTGCTACCCCCATGTCCAGGAGTGCTACAGATTTAATAAAACTATCAAAGCTTACAGGCAGATAAGAAAACAGTTACATGGGCAAGTATATTCTCATTCAAAAATTAATGCCATGCTTCCTCATCAACCCATTCTCCTGATTCAGTCTAAAACTTCTCGTATCTATTTCTCACACCTCGGCAGACTCTTCCACCATTATCCTCCCGAGACGCGCGGTTCTCTGACTGTGACTATTGCAGCGGGGGACTGAATAGGACCTAATTAGATACATTTGCTGATTGTGTTTTACAAAATTCTATAGATGCAGTCATTAGCTTTACTGTAAGGCCTGGAGAAACCCAAACCCAGAGAGAGGCAGGGAGGTGGAATCCTGAACTAGCAGTCTTCATCGGGAAGTCTTCCTCTTAGACACCCTCTCTGACTACTTAGTGTCTGACCAATGCTGTGTAAACTCAAACTGGCTGAGAGAGTTCACAGCTGAGCCGTGCAGGGAGACAAGTCTCTCCTCTGAGGAACACAGCATGGAAGACATACAAGGCAAGATGCAACCTGACAGAAGTCATGGCTAGCCAGGCTGGGAGGAAACTTTCAAAGAAACTGAAATCGCCACAGAGAGAAATGAACAGACTTCAGAGTGAGATCCACCCATATGAAAATGCAGACAGAGTGGCCTAAAATAAGACTGCTCAGAGCATGGGAGGGGCTTTCCTCTTACGTTTAAACACTTATTTGTTTACTTATTCATTTGTATACAGGCATGTGAATGTGTGTATATACATGTGTGTGCATGTGCGTGTGCATGTGTGTGCGTGTACCTTCACATGTGCATAATAAAGTACAGGTCACAGGACAATCTGCAGGGGTCAATTTCCTTGTTCTTCCATGTTGGTCCTGGGAGTCAAACTCAGATCATGAGGTTTGGCATCAAGTGGCATTATTTGTGACCGATGTATTTTAAGATTCCGATGCTCACTGGGTGGGGACTCCTGTCACTCTTGGCTCTGTCTTGTCTATCAGTTCCCTTTGTATCCTTGTTGGGAACTTGTTTTCTCACAGATTATAAATATGTCACGTGTCCTTCATGGAAACTGGCATCGTCGTAAAAGGATTATCTTGGCTGAGCGTGAGAGATCTTAAAATTCTCTTTTCCCATGAAGGGGTCATGTGATTCGAGTCATACTTGGCACAAGGCTAAAGGCACCTGCCCTTTGAAACATATCAGAGACCCGCTCTATGGCAATGCAGCCACAGAGAGGATGATGCTCACTGCATCCGTCTATGAGCATCTATGCAGCCTCCGGTCCTGGCTTTTTGTGGTCTCTGCCCCTTGGCCCCTGCATTTGACTGTGACGTTTCTTGTGGAGACCTCAGGCTCTCCTCTGTCCTAACCCCTGCTACCCATCAACACTTGGGGCTCTCCTCTGTCCTAACCCTTGCTACCCATCAACACTCCCTTCTCCTGGCTCCTTCCAGTTCTGCCCCAGGATTCGCTCACCTCAGAGACTGACTGTGAACTAATGAGGATGGTTCAGCTGGTCGCCCTCAGACCACACATTTGCATCTCTGCAGGTTTATTCAAGGCTCACCTCAAGGCCATCCTTGCCTCAGAGGTGACCCACAAGCAGACCTACTGTCTGCTATCACAGAAGAAGAAGCAGGACACATCATCTCTCAGGGCAATGCCCAACCGGCATCCCATAGCCAGCCCAGAGCCTGTCCGAGAGACATTTCCTTGCCTTGAAATGGCACACTAAGTGTCCTGATCTTCAGGTTAGAAGCAGCAGCCCCAGCATGCCTTTCACTGGATTGTTTTGCATCACACACACAGCTCCATGGGTCCTCTCAGGATGACTTCCGGGTTTCCCTAAACTGGCTCATGGTTGGTGTTGACTCCATTCAAGCTTGCAGCCTGGAAAACCATAGACAAATGTTAACAAAACACCAAGCAAATAGTGACCTCATCTTGAAATATGTGTCGTATCAACTAACAATTGTATAGACATTACACGCTCAATGCATATGATTTAATAATTATATTTAAATTTCACATAATTTAAACAATTGTTTTAATATAACTTGTTAACATAATCAAGTATAAACAGGCATAATAAGCACATGGGTATGTTTTATTAAGATAATAACTACTCCTACAGGCAAAGACATGGGTGTATATGTTGACAAATTCATCCTATTGATGTGTGTCTCATTTAAAATTTAAATTAAGCTTACAATGGGAGTGTATTCAACATTGTCCCCGCACTAAAGTGGCTTTAGTCACCACAGTCTCCTGAGTGATCCTTCCAGCAAAATGCCAAGCGAGCTGCTTCAATGACTTGACTTTTAAAAATCAAATGAAGCTCTCCATGTTTCGAGTCAAGCCGTTTTCCTGTAGACTAGAATCCTGAAGTTTAGAAACAGCCACTTTCTGTTGGCCTTGGGGCTAGGCACTGGTGACCTGCGTAAGTGGCTGCCAGTGACAGGTCCCGCAGTCCTGCACAGTCTCCTCTCTGGCTCTGCTTCAGTTGACCAGTTGACCTGGTTCTTCCACAAATACATGGCACAAATCACTGTGAGAGGCTGTGAAGCCTAGTTAATATTTAAAACATTTTGATGCTTGGATAAAAGGGGATTCAAGTTGTCACCAATTAGTAGGAAAAGACTAATTATTATACAGACCTATGATCCTTCCTAAGTAGCTACATTAAAGGAATCTAAAATCTATCACTCTCTGTGAAAGAGCAGATGGCCCGAGTTAGACCCCTAAACTCTAATGAACGTGTGAGGGTGTACAACGGCTGCCTGTGTGTATCACTAAACAGGATCCTCCCGAAAGGGCTGCTGGAGGAGAGAGGAGAATCGAGCAGAAACACATGCCGGTGTCATTATGGTCGGGCTAATCAGTCCCATCTATGGGAACTGATCTAGAAAAAAAATCTTCTTTCCCAGGCTTCAAACTACTTGGAAATAAGCATGTATTTTAATTATCCTATTTAAACAAGACTCAGTGGCCCAGACAATAAATGCTTATTGTGTTCCCACCATGAGGTAGAACATGGATTTTATAATAAACTGAGCATGGTCTTTAGGATTTCGATCATCTGGAAGAAAATGGGAGATGGGACTGTAAAGGAGACAGGAGTCCTTCCCCAGCAATAAAGTTTTCTCCTTACCATCACACATATAACCCAAGCCGGAAACATGCCTCGGGCATCTGGAGAGCATCAGTTTAGCTTAAACTAAACTTCGTCTGTGAACTTACCCCTCAGCTCAGTTTTCTCTGCATTGTGTTCCCCCACAAACACAGAGCTAGGGTTGAAGACCACTGATATTCTCTCTCTCTGTGTGTGTGTGTGTGTGTGTGTGTGTGTGTGTGTCATCTCTGAAGACCCTGGGGTACCACACAAGGTACAGGGTAGAGACGCCCTGGGAAGGACATTGTTCTGAAACTGTCTACTACTCACACAGAGTCCCCTTTCCTTCTTGTGTCCTGGCATTGTAGGCCTCACAGTCTCCACTCTGGGTTTTTCAGGTAACCCAAGTAGCTGACATAAAAGAAGATATTCTAGACTCAGAGAGTTCTCCCAAAAGACCAAGAGAAACTGCGAAGAACTTCACATCAGAACTCTCCAAAAAGGTGCTCCAAGAAAGACTTCAGAGGACTCGCCTGTCCTCAGACATGGGATCTCCTAGGGCCACTGAGCTGAGAAGTATCGAGGTATCTTCAGTGGAAATTTCAGAGACTTCTTTACCAGTTCATCCTGCTCTGCCTTGAGTTCTTCACCATAACATGGGGTGCTGATGTTTTCTCTTCATGGGTCCAGATGTGTCAAAGAAGCCATGTGTTCAAACGTGCATGCACATCTGCAGAAATGTGAGCACACACCCAATGTGGACTGGCTTACTTAGCATCCATAATTATTAAGTAAGGAAATTGTTTTCTAATGGAGGCAGCATGAAACTCATTTTTCCAAACCACATGTATCTGGGACAGATTCAGACTTCGCTTCTACTGGGAAATAAAATCAAACACAGGGAATCCTACCTTCATTCCCGTCTTCAAAAGCATGGGTGTTTTAGCCCTGTCCACTCACAATTCTTGTTCATCCAAGAAAACTGCACATGACTCTAGGAATAAAAAATAGGTATGCAAATAAAAATTATTTATAGCAAATTACAAAGAAATTCATTTGAAAATAATTACTTGGTATTGTCCTAGTTAGGGTTACTATTGCAGTGATGAAAACCACGATATTTCACAAAAAGCAAGCTGGGGAGGAGAGTTTATTTGGTTTACACTTCTATATCACTGTTCATCATTGGAGGAAGTCAGGACAGGAACTCAAACAGGGCAGGAACCTGGAGGCAGGAATTGATGCAGAGACCACGGATGGGTACTGCTTACAGACTTGCTCATTAAGACTTGCTTAGCCTGTTTTCTTATGGAACTGGGCCTTCCTCCATCAATCACTAATTAAGAAAATGCCCTGCAGCTAGTTCTTATGAAGGCATGTTCTCAGTTGAGGTTCCCTCCTTGCAAATAACCCTGGCTTGTGTCAAGTCAACACTGAGCTAAGCAGCACAAGTGTACACGTAATGTTATCACTTACTAATTTGCATATTGCTCTGGTTAGTTTTTTTGTCAACTTGACACAAGCCTGAGTCATCTGGGAAGAGGGAACCTCCACTAAGGAAAGATCTGCATCTGACTGATGTGTAGGCAAGTCGGCAGGGGCATTTTCCTGGTTAGTGACTGAAGTGGGCAGTGCCTCTTCTAACAGATAGTCTGGGCTGTATAAAAAAGAAAGTGAAGCAAGCCATGGGGAACGAGCCAGCTGGCTGTCTCTCCATAGTCCCTGCCTCAGTTCCTGTCTCCAGGTTCCTGCTCTGACTTTCCTTTCTGATGGTCTCTGTACTCTGCGAAGTGAAGTCGATCCTTTCCTTCCCAGGATGTCTTTGGTCACAGTCTTTAACACATTAACAGAAAGCAGACTAGAGCATGTGTTGATGAGATGGATGTAGGAATTAAATTTTGGCTGACTATTTGATCCTGAGGAATGCAGAGCATCTTTTACATTTATCAGAGTTGATCAATATTTTCATTTTTATTATTGAAGTATTTTACCTATGTATGTATGTGAACCTGCGCTGAGCATACACACACCACAGGTTTTGCAAGAGCTGGAGGAGGCCAGAAGAGGGTTTGCTCTGACCCAGGAGCGGCAGGTGTTTGTAAGCACACACGGGAGTGGGTGAGTGATTCCGGGTCCTCTGCAAGAGCAGTAAGCGCTCTTAACCACGGAGTCATCTCTCCAGCCCACTGATCAATATCTCCGCCTTATAACTCGCAATGCTTCACAAAATGGCAGAAGTGTATTTGGGATCATTTCACAAAAACTGTTTGGAATTCTGGCCTGATCCCAAGGCAAACTCCACTTAGCTTTCAAAAATGGAACTCTAGTCAGCAATTGAAACAGCAGTCCTTAAAATGAAACATTCAAATACAGTCCAATTTGATGCTTCTGTGCTGAAAAAATGATTAAAAATTATTAAAAGTTATTATTTTCATTTGGGGTAATTGAAGCATTGTGTTTCCAGGAAAGCAGACACTGCGAGCACAGTATATATAATTCATGGCACATTGAGAGTCTCGATTCGGAGCCTAGGCATTCAGCCTGGCTTGCTGACGTTGGGCGTTGCAATGGCACGCACAGCACAAAGTGCACACTTTGTGTGTCGAGAGCCAAGGCAGCACTCAAGCCGTGAGATATATCACACAAAAATGCCTCGGATTTGTTATGCATTTGAATTTGAATTAATTTTTGGTCAGTACAAAGTCAGAAATCTTTCAATGTTTTCAAATGTGTAAATACCCCCATGTTCAATTGTACAACCTCTCTGGGGATCGCAATCCAGTTTAGGGAGCTCTGTTCTGGATGAAACTTCCAGAAACAAGAAGAGGCTGAGGAGTGGATGGGCATCTAAGCATTCCAAATGTAAGGGGACAATATTATAATGGAACACAGCGCTGTGGCCTTTTGGGAGCAGGGAGGGCTGCTGCACTCAACTTTCAAACTTCGTACTTTCAACACCAACTGTCAGAATTCTTCAGGCTTTGGCTTTTTTTTTTTCAATTTGGTTTGCAAACACAATGCTAGATATATTAGGACTTTACAGTGTTGACGTTACAAGGTGTGTACCAGAAGATACAGTTCAAAGGAATAGTGAATTGGGCAAAAGAGACTTTGGGGTAATAACTGGGGTCTCTAAGAAGGAATAATGCTGAAGCAATGGGACGATTGGATTGGATGATAAACAGTAGCAGCAAATCTCAGATTGCAGTGGTTTGATCGACAGTTGGTAATGCATTATTACAGAGTCATCGCTGAGATGGAGGGTGAACAAAGATTTCTGTGTATAAATACAGTTGCCTTTGTGCCACTGATCACCCATCAGTGGGAAGGCCCTGACCTCAAGAGGGGCAGGATGACTTGTGGGCCTGGGAAGACAGGCCTCTTTCTCTGTCTCTCCCTGTCTCCCTCCTTCTACCCCTCCTTTCTCCCCACCTCTTCTCCTTCCCTCCTCCCATGCCTCTCTCTTGTCCAACCTTTTGACATGGGATGTTATAAACATTGAGTGGTATCTAGGAACTCCTTTGTAAACACAAGTCTCACCCAATCAGAGGGGCGACAACCCTTTCCCATTTTAGATGATTTTGTCCACTTCTTGCTCTTCCTCCTAACTGTCTGTGGCCAAGATATAGACGGGGATTCTCAGTTTGGGGAGAATACAGAGAACCAACTCCTCTGCATTCTGAAGAAGGAGGAGGAGGGGAAAATAAGGGAAGAATTGGGGGGGGAGATAGGAGTGTCGGGGCTGTTCTGCGCCCCTCCCCTCTGATTGTCTTCAGACCAAAGCAGTTCTGTGAGTGACCTGCAAGGAGAAATTTTTAGCAGTTAAAAGTATTTTAGGTGATTTAAAAATAGAGCCAAGGAATAAATCTTAGAGAAAGAAGAGAATGTGGATTCTGGAATGCCCTGTGGTTCTTGAAATATGAATAAAATGACTTCCTGAAGGCGTTCGACAAAACTGTTCATCATTCACTTTTCAGTCACAATATTGAGTAGGGTCCCAGCTGCCTGTCTAACAAACAAGGCCATTGGCTTGAGTGAGCTAAACCGGGCATTAAGTCCTCACACACTTCCAGCCTGTCAGAATTGCCCAGAAGCTTTTGGATAAATTCTTTGCTTGACAACTCTTTTGTAATTAGCCCACAGGGCTGTCCATAATGCCCACCTTTGCTCAGGGGTCCCTTTCTTCAACACTTTTCTAGACCGGATGTTTTTACGTAAGGTTTTCAACTACATAGCTCTGATGGTCCAGGTGCTCACACTTGACTCAAAGGGGGAATAATTAGAACCTTGGATCTGTTGAAAGTCTAGGAAAATGAGTCGAGACCTTTTATCTCTAGCTGTTCTCTTCTTTAAGAGAGGGATTTAATGGAAAGAAATTGCAGTCCCATGGCTGCAATGTGGCACATAAAAAGTTTGTTTTCAACGAGACAGCTGGTTCACGTAGTCATTCGTCCGTTAGTGTGTACTGTGTACCTGCCGTGGAACAGGTCATGTACTGCTGTGCTACAATCTAAGAGAGATAGAAGTTATGGTGTGGTGGTGACGCACGCATTTAATCCCAGCACGTGGAAGGCAGAGGCAGGCGGATCTCTGTGAGTTCGAGGTCACGCTGGTCTACAAAGCCTATTCCAGGACAGCCAGAGCTGTTTCACAGAGAAACGTTGTCTCGAAAAACCAAGCAAACAAACAAAAAAGAAGCCACAAGTGTCACCATGAAACTTCCAGTATTTTACATCTGGTAGCACAAATAGTCATGCGCCCTTATAACTTTATTGTAAAGCAAAAGATGAAACCCTGATAAAGGGAGGGATAAAGACTTTAAGCTGAAAAGGCTTGGAATTAGAGCAATGGCTTTGGGATTAAGAACACTTGCTGTTCTTGCAGAGGAGCCAAACTTGGTTCCCAGCCCCCACATGGCATCTCACGAGCATCTGTAACTCTGATTCCGAGGTATTTGAGGCCCTCTTCTGACCTTCAAGGACATCAGGCATGTACATGGCACATATACACACGCAGGCAAAAACACTCATAGCATAAAATAAAAATAAGCAATTTTTAAAGAGAAGAATAAAAAGAAAGAGGACAGTGAAAAATTCTTCACATGGCAGCTGAAATTTCCGCTCAGAGTAAGTTCTAGAGAATCGCCATGGCTCTCACGGCTAAGAATTCACTGAACAGTCATTACAACATTGCAGACTTATTGCTTGGGAAGGCAAGGAGGTGGGAGATTCTGGCACGTTGGGAATGATTGCAAAGCCTACCTAAGGTCTTCTGGAATATTCTTTTAATGTCTCTGGGAGCTTGCTGACGTGGCACAGAAGAGAGCGGAAAACGAGCTGCTCTCTAGTTGAATAAGACATACTTATTCAATGTGGTGTGAGAGGCATGGCATTTGAAGACAGGTCCTAGAGAAGAGGCACGGTGAAGGCAAGAGAGGTGACCTCTAAGTGTTCAAGAAGGGGACTTGGTGCTTTGTGTGGTTTTCTTCTCTGGTGACCTCGGTAAACAACAGCTAATAAAAGAATCCATCACAGAAAGCACAGACACCACCCCAGCCAGCGAAGGGCCTGGGATACACTTCCTGCGAACTGCCCGAAAAGTTAAGCAACACGCAGGCAGTAGTGGAGAGATAATGAGATGCTACAATAATTGGCCAGACTGAAAGCAGAGAACATATTCATCACGGCTGTGCAGTAAGAGTGATGAGGAGCGCGGCGAAACAGACTCCCTGGCAGAATAAATATGGAACGGTTATGTAACAGGTCTGGCAGAAGCCGTATGTAAATAGAGTAACTATTAAGAAAAACAATGGAGGATATTCTAGTCTGCCCTCTGTTGCTGTCGTAAATACCAGACAAAATGCCGCTTGGGGGGAGAAGGTTTATTTGGTTTGGGCTTCTCAGTCACACTCTTGAAAGAAAGTCAGGGCAGGGATTTGAGCAAGAACCGAAGCCGGAACCACAGAGCTACAATGCTTACTGGCTTGCTCCCCAA